GTAGTAAACAAATGTGAGGAAGTTATTTATTTGAATGCCTTGAAGGTGACCAGAGAGAGAAAGAGATTATGATTTAACTATGTAATGATGTAATAAATATGTGGGCAAGTATAAGCATGTAGACAAGATGTCAACAGTACTCTGTATTCAGAAATGCCTGCAAATGTATTGTGTTATGGTTAGATTTGGTGCGACTTGGACTGGAATTGACTCTGAGATTAAACGTGATGCAAAGCATTACATTGGTGTCTTCCATTTTATTTTGATCCGAAGTAAGAGGGTGCAAACAACACAAGTAAGCTCATGTCTTTGTATTTCAGGAGAAAAAATGGTGCACACCTGATTTCAAGGTCTTCGAGTATCTACACCAATTTGACCCATACTCTACTTATCAGACACACTTAAAAAATAAGATACGGTGGATTACTAGAAATCGAGACAGTAGAGCCATCGTCCCTCCCTCAGTAGAAGCGGTCTCTGCAGGTAGAATAAAAGCGTCGGCGGACTCGTTAATCTTTAGGGACCCTACCACTTTCCGGGCAGGGGAGATCCATCAGCACGCAAGGGAATGGAAGAAAATATTGGGGAAAGGAGATCATTCCGCCATAATTATTAGCCTCCTTCGCAGTCTTGTTGGGCGTGGGCGTAATTTTTTCTCTGAGCGACGCGAGTAATATGCGGCCGCGAGGGACGATTTGCTGCCGAGGGACTTTTGCCACGGAGAGAAGGTTTCCGCGCTCCAACAAGACTGCTTCCAATCGGCGACTAGAAAGGACCTCGGATTAAGCCAGCCTTTCATAGAGGCTATTAACATGTTCGTGCAGGTCCAATTCACATGTTCGCGCAGGTCCAATTCACATGTCCGCGCAAGGGTAATTCACAGATACGCTGACACGCGCTCGCCTTTGTCAACGGTTGGTTTTATTATAGCTTGCGTAGTCGAAGGTTCCAACAGAGAAAGAGTGAACATTGGTAATGTTACAACAAAGGCATTGCTGTGGATATTTAAGCATCCCATGCAAACAAACCAAGACAAACTTTGCAGTACTATTTTTGCTGGTGAAATGTGCCTTTCTTTCTATTACGCAACTTGCTGCGGAGCGGTGCGTTACCCTCCCATGACCAGTGAGATCAACCCGCCACTAAACAACATGGCGGCACTTTGTTTATCTGTCCACGTCCCCCAGCAATATCACAGTTTATCTTGCGGGTTCCTGTGGTAGTGATCTTTTCAAAGTTGTTTTTCGTAGCAGCAATGACTGCGGGATTTTGTTGAGTGGATAGGGCTCGGTTTTCGGGAATGGTTGGCGTTCTACCGACGGGTTGATCGGCGACCGCTAAAAAGTTACAAGTTTTGGCTCGTCGAGCAACGGGGCGTGAACACCTCCCTGCACTGGTGGCGTTTATTGCGGGAAGTTCACACATCCATGCCAATCGCTCCTAAGTGTTTTTTGATAGCCCTTTCTAGTCGCCGATTGGAAGCAGTCTTGTTGGAGCGCGGAAACCAGGCAAAAGTCCCTGGGCAGCAAATCATCCCTCGCGGCCGCATATTACTCGCGTCGCTCAGATAAAAAATAACGCCGACGCCCAACAAGACTGCGAAGGAGGCTAAACCCGTGGGTCAGTGGTTGAGTGATGGACGCTGGACCCTTATGAAAATATTAATAACCTCTTTAACCCCTCTCAAGAGGTAGTATTTAAAAACGTCCAGTATTGTATTTTTTTTTACATTGTTCGGTATCGTTTACCAGATTCCTTTCACTCAGATGTTGGCTTCAGTGGAGCTACGTGACAAGCATCACTGGGTCAATCCATTGAATAAGACCATAGCGACTGGTCGAAAACTTTAGCGGAGAACAATCGGATTCCTTGTGTTGGACGTTTTAAATTAAAACACAAGGAACTGTTCTTAGCTAGAGGTACACAGAACGTTTCTGATACCTGGATTACCTGGATGTATTGTGGCCTGTGAGAGCATAAACGTATAATGTAGGTTTTTAGTTCATTTTGTATTATAGAAGTTGTATCTAATAACGTTGCATGATGTACTTCAGCCTGTGAACTATGTGGAACAGAACTGGATGGCGGATCCTTTTTCTGGGGGCTGCTTTGTGGCCACCTTAGGACCTGGTGTGCTGACAAGCTTTGGCAGGTGAAGTCATGTACCCTTATCCTTACATGTACATGTGCTGTAGTGGAAATGTAAGCCAAGTTCAAAATGGTTTACCTGGCTTTTTTCAAAGGTACTGCAGGGGGATTTTTTATGCGTTTATTGATTGTATATCCTTAGCATCATCTCTGAAAGTATGACTATATTATTTCGATTTTATTTGACTTGGCTGTTTTGATAGTATTGTACCTTTGGAAACTGTGCTAATTAAGCTCTATCAGGTGGATAAATAGTACAATGAAACATGGTGATACAATTAAATACCCAAAGCGATTTCAAAGCAATAAAACTAGATATTTAAAGTCAATTATCACTTTTAATATGCATTAAGTTGAATCTATCCTATGCCATGATTCAAAGAACGTATGGCAAAAATGCGATGTCGCATGGCAGAAAACGGTTGCTTGTTTCGTTTTGTATCGTATTTCATTTATTTGTATTAACTAAAGAGAACTCCTTACTCAACTTTTTGTCTGGACTATTTCAAACGCGTAACAATGACAAAATAAAAAAGGCAGTACTTGTTAATTTTAGGCAGATTTCCCCACTTTTGTTTTGCCGCTCTGAAACCCCATTTAGGAACTAGCGTTATACTAGTATAGATTGCTCGTAACTTCGATGTTAAAAGCACAAATGTATGAATTGGTGTGGCCTAACCAACCTTGCTCCCGACCTACTACTAACAATAGCTGTGGGGAGTTCGGCTAGTGTTCGGGTGTATGTATTCGGTTATACGTGACAGGGGCTTTACTCACTCGCACAATCACTCCCTACAGAGCGATACGCAAGCCGTTTGGTAAGGTGTACTTTGCCGGTACGGAGACAGCAGTAAAGTGGAATGGCTACATGGACGGGGCTGTCGAATCTGGCGAGAGAGCTGCAAGAGAGGTAAAACATATAACATTATTATAAAAGCGATATATTATTACAGTAGTTTAGTAGCGATGTAATAGTTCTTGTATGAAAATAAAATATTCAAAGCAGATTAATTCAGTCGACCCTGACGTACTGTAGTGTACATAAAAACACACATATTTATTTTGTAATGATGATTAATTGATAATTTCCTTGATCATTTTGTAACGAAATGTACATGTACGGTTGTTGGTATGAAACAAAACTTTAAGATAATCCTGTATCTTAAACTTGCAGGTTTTGCATGCCATGGGGAAGATATCAGAAGACCAGATCTGGCAGGAGGAGCCGCCCAGTCCTGACGTTCCCCACACACCTTTTGAAGATGACCCATTGGAGAAAATCCTCCCGTCCGTTCCACAGTTCCTGTATATTCTGCTAGCACTCCTTGTGCTGCTGCTTTCTGTGCTATGGGTTTATCTGTTCTAAAAAGCTACAGCTTATTAAACGTTAAAATATGATGATTTTGACGGCGTCCCTGGGCGCCACCATGTTGGATTTTAACGTAATGTAGTAATCCAAAAGCATAGTGAAATGGGCTCCTTTTTTTGTTGGTATAATATCTAGACTGCGCAATGGTTGGTGAGTGGAGTAGGATGACAAGGCGTCGCACATGATGTTAAAATAGGAAAGTCTGTAGCGCTTTGCTGTTATCTTGACAACAAGTTCCACAGTGATAGAGAGGTAGTTTGTTGTATGATTAGATGGTGTTTTGGGATGCTTTTGCTTTTGGATGCATTGGTTGCTTTTTTTTGGAAATACACTTTTGGAAATATTTTAATGTGTTTTTTGTTCGAGGGAATTTATTCTGTCACTGTTCCACGTGAATTCCACAAGAAGTTTAACTATATTTTTTGAAAATACAGCACAATTAAATGAAATAAATGGAATTTGAACAGAAAAATACAAAACATAATTTTTGACACCCCCACTTAAAGTGTTACTGTTCCAATGTTACCGCAGATGATCACCTAGTAGATTATCTGTTTTTTTATGCCCACACAATCTTGTTTCACGTGACATAGTTTTTTTCGTAACAATTTTTCACGACTTTTTTCGGCAACGGAGGAATTTATAAAGAAATTCGGGTCAAATAACTTAGTACGATAGGCTATATGATAATAACATTAATGGCCCTCCTTATCCTCGGTGTATATTGTGAGATAATCCCTGGTCGGGTGGGATAACCACCTCATAAACCCCCTGTTCACTCGGTGGTTTATTCGGTGTTTATAGCACCCGACCAGGGATTATCTCACCATATACACCTATGGTCGGGACATTAACCCTTTATTATTTTATACATATTCAGTTATATTTCATTACACATATTTTCAAATATGTTGTGTCAGCACTGTGCAAAGAACCAAAGCCTGTACTACATTTTTTTTTTAAATAGGACAATAAAAATAACAATAAAGGCGGTTATGCCAAACAAAAGCCCTGTTGTCACTAAGTCTCTACAATGGGAGGGGCAGTTTTATAAAGATCATCCTCTCAGTATAGTCACATGTTCCAACAACTTCTTCGTTTCCATTGGAAACAAGTTAGCTGAGGAGTTCAAGAAACAGACAAGTAGATTACTTTGCCCAGAAAAGTACAAGAAGTTGGGGTCCACTTTCCTCTTAAAAGAGGTAAGTGCTTTAATGATTTGGTAAACAATTTTGAGCTGCTTGACATTTGGAGAGTTTTCCACAGTGAAGACAAAGATTACACATGGTCTAAACGAAACCCTTTTATTGCCAGGAGACTGGACTATCTCCTGGTCAATGATGCAATTTTTGATAAAGCTATAGCTTGTGAAATCATCTCTTTCCCTTGCAGTGATCATAGAGCTGTAGTATTGGATATGTCTGTAACACAGTTTGACAAAGGGCCTTCATATTGGAAACTCAATGATTCTTTTCTGAAAGATAAAATATATGTTGATCATGTTAATGAAATCATAGAAAACATACATGAAGGCCTAAGTGACTCTGTGATTAATGATAAACAACTAATGTGGGACATCTGCAAGCGTAAGATAAAAAGTTTCTCGATCAGTTATGGGAAACAAAAAGCTCATGAAAGACGATCTAGGCAAAGCATAATTGAAGAAAATTTAAAAATGCTGGAAAAACAATTAGCTTCCGATCCACAAAATCTGAATTTGCAGCAACAGGTGCACAAAACAAAAGCCGAGTTTGAAGCGTTGGTTCTTCATGAAGCGCATGGTGCACAAATCCGCTCAAAGGTTAAATGGATTGAGGAAGGAGAGAGAAATACAGCGTATTTTCTTCGACTTGAGAAGGCACATGCCTCAAATAATGTAATCACAAGCCTCAAAGCATCAGATGGCTCCATCATAACTCATCAAGATGAATTATTGGATCAGCAAGTTGAGTATTACAGAAAATTGTACAGTAAAGAAGATTTTGACAAAGAAAAATTTGATGACTTTATCGCAGATATTGATTTTCCTACATTGACTGAGACTCAAAGTAAGTCATGTGAAGGGTTGTTTACTATGGCGGAATGTGCAGCTGCTATACATTCCATGAATAATTGTAGCCCCGGCCTAGATGGCCTAACAACTGATTTTTATAAGGTATTTTGGAGTAGGATAAAATGTATGGTTTTGAGCTCTCTGAATGAGGGTTTTACAAAAAATCAACTTTCTTCAACTCAACGTAAAGGGCTTATAACTTTGCTATATAAAGGAAGTGAACATCTAGATCTTGATAGAAATCAGCTGTCTAATTGGAGACCAGTTTCTATAACCAATACCGATTATAGAAGTAGGGGCTAAGATCCTAGCAAATAGACTACAGAATGTTATTTCTTATATTGTTGGGGACGAACAGACAGGCTATATTAAGTAGATCTATTTTAAACAATGTTCGTGCAATTGATGATGCCATTTGTTTTACCATAGACCGTAATGTACCCGGAGCTATTTTGTTTTTGGACTATAGTAAAGCTTTTGATACCATCTCCAAAGATTTTATCTTCAATGCTTTGGAAAAATACAAACTAGGCCCTGACTTTGTTAACTGGGTTAAAGTTTACACTAATAATGCACAAAATTGTATGAATCACTATGGTCACTTGTCAGAGTGGATTAATCTGGAAAGGGGGGTGCGACAGGGATGCCCCCCTGTCGGCCCTCCTTTTCATCTTAGCCACAGAGATTTTTTCTCTAAAAATCCGCCAATCTACTGAGATCACAGGAATTCGTCTTTCTTCTGTAGAAGTACGAATTTTCCAGTACGCAGATGATATAGAGCTGCTCTTGGGTGACAAGGCCTCTGTCATCAAAAGTTTAGATATAATTGAACAATTTTCTGTATTTTCTGGTTTATCCTTGAACAAAGAGAAAACAGAGGCCATGTGGCTAGGCCCTTGGAGATATAGTTCTGACACGATAGGTGGATTGAAATGGACCTTAAGAGCGAAATGCCTAGGCGTTATCTTTTCGTCCGAAAAATCTGCTTCTGAAATCGAAGATAACTGGAATAAAAAGTTGTGTAAGATGAAAAAGATTTTAGCTTCTTGGGCACCACGTTATCTTAGTATTTTGGGAAAAATCATGGTTATCAAAAGTTTAGTTGCATCGCAACTGTCATATATGCTGGGTGCACTAACACCTCCAGATACATTTCTTAATAATGTTAATTCTTTGTTCTTTAGATTTCTATGGAAAAAAGACAAAGTTAAAGGTAAGGTTATGATTCAAGAATATGCAGCAGGTGGTGTAAAAATGATAGATATGAAAAATTATTTATGAAACTTGTATGTTGAAATGGGTTAAGAAATTACTTAATTTGGATGCTCTTGTTCCCACTTGGAAAAAGATGCAACTCAGCTATTTGGATGTTTTTGGACCCAACTTAGCTATCTTTAAGTGTAACTGTAAGATGTCTGAGATACTTCCTGTAGGCTGTATACAGTCACTACCTGATTTTTTATAAGAAAATGGTCTCTGTGTGGTTCAAGGTAAAGCCAGTAAAAGAAATAGAGCAGGTAAATGATATAGCATCACAACTCTTGTGGAATAATGTGTGCATTATGTATAAAGGAAGAATATTGTACTACCGTAATTGGATCAACAAAAATATCATGTATGTTAATGACGTTATTGATCGTTACGGCAATGTTATATCTTTCAATGATGTTAAGAGCATTGTGGGGAAGTACCCAAATTTAATCTTACAATATAATGCTCTGGTAAATGCCATTCCAACTAAATGGAGAGTGTCACATGATTTTGACGGAGTACATAAAATCAAGTTATTTGAAAAAGAGGTGAAAGTTCAAACTAATAGTTTCTTNGCCATGATTCAAAGAACGTATGGCAAAAATGCGATGTCGCATTGGTACTAGAAAAACGGTTGCTTGTTTCGTTTTGTATCGTATTTCATTTATTTGTATTAACTAAAGAGAACTCCTTACTCAACTTTTTGTCTGGACTATTTCAAACGCGTAACAATGACAAAATAAAAAAGGCAGTACTTGTTAATTTTAGGCAGATTTCCCCACTTTTGTTTTGCCGCTCTGAAACCCCATTTAGGAACTAGCGTTATACTAGTATAGATTGCTCGTAACTTCGATGTTAAAAGCACAAATGTATGAATTGGTGTGGCCTAACCAACCTTGCTCCCGACCTACTACTAACAATAGCTGTGGGGAGTTCGGCTAGTGTTCGGGTGTATGTATTCGGTTATACGTGACAGGGGCTTTACTCACTCGCACAATCACTCCCTACAGAGCGATACGCAAGCCGTTTGGTAAGGTGTACTTTGCCGGTACGGAGACAGCAGTAAAGTGGAATGGCTACATGGACGGGGCTGTCGAATCTGGCGAGAGAGCTGCAAGAGAGGTAAAACATATAACATTATTATAAAAGCGATATATTATTACAGTAGTTTAGTAGCGATGTAATAGTTCTTGTATGAAAATAAAATATTCAAAGCAGATTAATTCAGGGGACCCTGACGTACTGTAGTGTACACAAAAACACACATATTTATTTTGTAATGATGATTAATTGATAATTTCCTTGATCATTTTGTAACGAAATGTACATGTACGGTTGTTGGTATGAAACAAAACTTTAAGATAATCCTGTATCTTAAACTTGCAGGTTTTGCATGCCATGGGGAAGATATCAGAAGACCAGATTTGGCAGGAGGAGCCCCCCAGTCCTGATGTTCCCCACACACCTTTTGAAGATGACCCATTGGAGAAAATCCTCCCGTCCGTTCCACAGTTCCTGTATATTCTGCTAGCACTCGTTGTGCTGCTGCTTTCTGTGCTATGGGTTTATCTGTTCTAAAAAGCTACAGCTTATTCGTTAAAATATGATGATTTTGACGGCGTCCCTGGGCGCCACCATGTTGGATTTTAACGTAATGTAGATCCAAAAGCATAGTGAAATGGGCTCCTATTTTTGTTGGGAGAATATCTAGACTGCGCAATGGTTGGTGAGTGGAGTAGGATGAGACGGCATTGCACATGGTGTTAAAATAGTAAAGTCTGTAGCGCTTTGCTGTTATCTTGACAACAAGTTCCACAGTGATAGAGGGGTAGTTTATTGTATGATTAGATGGTGTTTGGGATGTGGTTGGTTGCTTTTTTTTGGAAATACATTTTTTGAAATATTTTAATGTGTTTCTTGTTCGAGGGAATTTATTCTGTCATTGTTCCACGTGAATTCC